AGCCGGGATTAAAATAAAATTAAAATAATCGCGGCTTCATTTCCCTCTTCCGATCTGGCTAATCTACATGCCTCCATCGAAGGAGGCATGTAGTCTAGACACACCCCCAGTGCTTAAACAGAAGCAGAAATAGAATGAGGATAGACCTAGTTATCCTTGAGATGCCTCATTATACAAGGGCAAAGGTATGGAGACTCCATTTCATACAAGCACTTCATTTGGTCCCAAGGTATTGAGTCATCTAAATGATCTGGTCAAGCCAGTAATCAATATTGGACGTTAGTACAGAACTAGATACATTTTCCCATCAATGACTGGTGAATATTAGACAGACTGTTTCTGGACGAGAGGAGGCAGAGCAAGAGAGCAAGGCACATGCTGGATAGGAGGTCCCTTCACTCCCCAAAAGTAAACTCTTGCTTTCACAAAATAGCCAGACAGTGTTTGGGACTTTTACAAAATATGAAGCTGTTCCAATCCTGCCACTTTATGCTCAGCTGAAATGAAAAAATTTACAAGCCACAAAGAGAGAGAGAGAGAGAGAGCAGCAGAAGAGTTTTGCAAGTTACTCTTCAGAGCTCAGTTGACACCACTACAGAAGTGTGTCCATACCATTTCAGAATGCAAACAGATGGATGCGACCAAAAAAATGTGATGCTGCATCACCAGTTTGTGGCAGAAGCCAGCAGGGGAAGAGGAAAAGAGCCACAATTGTTTGTGGAACAGGAAGAGGTTATTTGTCCACAACCAAAAGAGAGAGATTAGGAGTGATTTCTAGACCACTGGTTTAAATTAGTTTTTATACACTCATGAGCAGTGATACACTATGACAGGGGTGGGCAAAAGCCACTCAGCCGGACAGATCCAGCCTGCCTAGGGCTTTGTTCTGGCCTGCATGGCTGTTCTAGGCCCCACCCCCTAGTGTGTTGCCTGGGTGTCAGAGCCGCTTGAGCCCTTTCAATTGCTTCTATTTAAAGGGCTCGCACCTTCCGCATGGCTGCAGGCAACAGCCCCAGGGAAGGCGTGAGCTCTTTCAATAGAAGCAATTGAAAGGGCCCTAGCATCCCAACTCCAGGCAACGCACAAGCAGCAAGTCCGCAAGCACTGAGCCCTTTGAACAGCAAGAATTGAAAGGGCTCACAACTCCCATCCCCCGCTAACGTGATGCCTGGGAGTAGCAGGGGAGGTGAGAGCCCTTTCAACTTCTGCTATTTAAAGGCTCCACCCCTTCCATCTGAGGTGACCCATAACCACTTCAAAAAATTTTGAAGTGGTCCCCCACTCAAAAATTATTGCCCACCCTTGTTCTATCACGACTCTCAAAGGCAAAGTTAGTGTCCTTGCATCAGTTGCACAGTCACCATCAGAACTCATACCAGATGTTGAACGGGTATGGAGAATGAACTACCATCTCCCTGCTGCTGCTGCCTCTAGAATTTATTCTGTACTTTGCCTAATTTGAGACATTGTTGCCTGTGCTGTATCAGTTTTGTGGATAAGAGGGACTGGGTTGGACTCCTCTCCCCTCCACCCCCCTCCCCACACACCTGTCAATCCAATATCTTTTATAAACAAAGAGGTCTCAATTTCAGGAGTTGCTGAGCATCTACACTTCAAAAGAAGCCAACGTTGCACTGAAAAATCCAGCCTGAAATGTACATCAACGAAACAGAAAAATGTAGAAGCTCTAGCTGTGGAGCCAACTAAGTGCAAAAGAAAACTCCCCTCCCTTCTCTTTCAGTCTCTATCTCTGAAGTTTTTCCATTAATTTGATTAAGACGACTGAGGCACCTTTTAATCATATTATGGGCCAGAACCACAATTCCCTACTCCACTTATGTCACACCTGACTGACCCTTTGTAATATATGAGTGTCCTTCCAATGTGGCTATTTATAAACAGCTTCCTTTGGGCTATGTCTACACTGGTATGATCTTGCACAAGAACTCTTTTGCGGAAGAGTTCTTGTGCAAAATACTCTTCCAGAAGAGAGCATCTACACCGGCATGTGCGTTTGCGCAAGAGATGTGCTTTTGCGCAAGAGCATCCATGCCACTGTAGACGCGCTCTTGCGCAAGAAAGCTCTGATGGCCATTTTAACCATAGGGCTTTCTTGCACAAGAAATTCATGTTGCCTGTCTACACTGGCCTCTTGTGCAAGAACAATTATTCCTGAGAGGGAGCATCAGAGTTCCTGCACAAGAAGCACTGATTTCATACATTAGAACGTCAGTGTACTTGCACAAGAACTCGCAGCCAGTGTAGACAGACGGCAAGTTTTTGTGCAAAAGCAATTGCTTTTGCGCAAGATGGTGCCAATGTAAACACAGCTTTGGAGTCTGTTCAGGTTCACTGGTGATCTCAAAAGTTTTGAGTTGCTCCGTCTCTTCAGCCCCAGGTATGGACCAACTTCGAAGCCAGGTTTGGATGAGCTATCTTTGGGTAGCCAGACTAGCCCTTTGCTGTTCACAGTCTAAATGCTAGCTACCACAAGTAGCCTCATTGAATACTACTGTTCAGAGTTACCCTACACATAGCCCTAAGTGTGTGAAAGTGATTAGGCTCCAGATCTCTCCCACGGTCTACACCTGCAATGTTGCAGCCAGGGTTCCAGCTAACATTTCTAAGTAGCTAGACCTCAAGAAAATAACATATCTCCTCATTGCGTGCTAGCATCACACCCTTACACAGCATTACTGTCTGCATTCAGGTCCCAAGGTTTCCACTTGAACACAGAAGAGGACAAGTACTTCCAAAGAGGACCTTGAATGAGAGCCTCTACATAACATGGTGATACTATCCTCTAGGGCTACATCTTCACTGCGAGTTTTTGCAGCAGAAAATATGCTAATGAGTCCCTCGTTAGCATAAGTCATTACATCATTAGCATTTTCTGCCGCAAAAACTCACCATGAAGATGTAGTCTAGGAGTCCTGCAGAATCAAACTGGCAAGCTCTTCTATCCCCCAACTTCCCCCTACTAAAAGAAGGGAGGAAAAAAGCCAAAATAACACCTTGTTCAGTTAGCACAAGCTCCAGCAAGAGTGAGGCTGCCCTCTCTCCCACCTTCTCCTTTTGGTCATCAGCTCTTGGTACTCACCTTCTATTTGTATTCTGCAGGAAGAAAACCATTCCTGAGGTGAAGTTAAGGCTGGCTATAATGGGTACTGGCGCAAATTTGAAGTGTCCGATGGTCAGCAGGACACACACAAGCTCAGTCAAGGGTCTGATAATACAGATGGAGAAAGTTCAGTCCAGAGAGGCTCCACAAGAAGATTTCCATGCCCCAAATACACACATCTTTATTTAAGCACTCCTTTCTGCACCTAAGGAGCTGGGGTGATACTGAAGAGAAATGCAAGCAATAGAGCAAAGCTTCCTTAATCAACTCACCCCCTATATGGGCTAGAAATGTAGATACCAAAAAAACCCTGCATTTATTAGAAGACTAGCTGGAGCCATGACTCCCCTAGTGTACATCTGAAGTTAAAAAAGCTCCTGTCTCACCACTGGAAGTGGATTTGCTCATTAAAAACAATACTGGGGAGGGGAGGGGGAGGGAAGAGGAAGAGTTTCTTTCATTTTGTGTCAACAAGTGTACACATTGAATGATGATTTAATTTGTTTCATGCATATATTTTATTTGTCTGCATTGTTTATGTGATTATATAAGATTTGTTTAGAAAAAAGCTTGTTTTACATTGCTAGGAAATAATGAGTTAAGGAGAATGCTCCAACTCATTGCAGATCACAATATGGAAGGCAAGCAGACCTGAGAATTGGTTAGGAAACCACTGAATCAACAAATTTATTTATAAGTTAATAAACTGGCCAGAATATTTTAAAGGGGGGTTTTGTGGGATTTTTTTGTTGTGTTTTTTTACTTTTCTAGGGGGTACTACTACCTTAAAGGATGGATTTTAGCCCACAATGTATCTCTATGTCATACTAGAGCTCAAGATTGGACATCAAGTTTGTGGTTCCAAAAAAAAAAAAAAAAAAAAAAAAAAAAAAGAGGCTGTTTATGGCTGTGATGGAATCAGAATCAGTGCTTTAATTTTATAATATTCCACCTTGGACCTTTTAATTTACACACGTTCTAAATTATAGCATAGATAGCTAAATTCAGGTTCAGGTTCATAGATTAGGTGCAACATGTACAGATTTTCCACAAAATATTTTACTTATCGTTTATCAGTATTTTTTAAAAAAGCCATTCCTTTCTCCCTGTTTGCCCATACTGCTCTCATTTTTCCTCACTGCAGACAGTATTTTTTTTAAATGGGTACTCAGCTACTTCTGAGTAACCATTTCAATTATTTATTAACAGGAAGTAGAAATTGACTGGAATAAATTTAATCAGCAGTCCTTACTCTATGGTTAAGCTTTTTTAAATGGCAAACTTCAGCACTTTTCTCATGCTACTTCATGCTGCAGGGACTGTGCCAATGGCTATAGATTATCATACCATAAAACTGCAGTGAGCAGTAAGTGTAATCTTGTGCTGTCTCAATTCGTTAGCTGATACACACTTGGTTAACATATAAAGGTTGGCTCTGTGCATATTTTCAAAACTACTGTTAAAGGGCACATATGTAAATAACTGCTCTCTCCACTGGTATTATTGTATGAACTATGTAAATGTAAGGCTAACGTACAATAAATTGAAAGATTAAATTTACATAGTTTCTTTAATTTGGTTACTCATACTCAACTGATTAATAAAGTATACAAACCCCTTGTGTGCTTATGCACTGTAAATCACTCACATATTTTAGAGAACTCTATCTATAATATTTACTGTCAAATCTCATTTCATTATCTCAGTTAAGTTAAAACAGGTGGAAAAATTCCTCTCTTACACCTGAGCAACTAAGCATGGAGAAACTTGACACCGTTGTATGGATTTTGGTTTTTCACCCATTCCAAATGATAATCTCTTAATATGTGAGATTAGACTTCACTCTTCTTTCATTGGCTAACCAAGCCACGTGCAAATGGTCACTTAAAACTATACATGCTGCAAGATGTATAGTTTTATCTCATGCATGTCAATGTCATCACTAAACTCACAAATTTCATGGCAGAGGAGATAAATGTACAGCCTGGCTATTGGATTTTTCTTCTTATGCAGTAGGTCAAGCTGTTCAAGCACAGGATTTGCTATTCTTAACAACAAGTGTTATAGCACTACTCAAACAGACCTGTGGAAGTGTAACAATCCACATAGCCATGACTGTTGTCAGTGGTCTAACCTGGGACCTTCATCACCAAAAGCACACATTAAACCAGTGTATTACAGACTCCTCCACTTATTATACAACCTGACTGAGCAGCTGAAGGGGGGGGGGGGGGGGAGGAGGCCAGTGCCAAGTCCCATGAAGGTTAGCATTATATAATGAACTATGGTTGCAGAGACATACAAACACCATGGTCATCAGAAAAGACTTATGTTATAGTTCCCCCACAAAAGCAGCGTTAAGCTCCTACCACTTGAATAAAAGAAAACAACACTTCAGGAATTAGGGCCCTGATTTGGCACATGCTGAAATGTTTTCCTGATTTAGAATTTAAAAACTTGTTATGGGTACCACACATTACAAGGAGACATAACATACTCTATGCCAGCAAGCATACTAAAAAAGCACCAGGCAACATGAACTCCCAAACCTGATAACAGCTGGAAAATGTAACAGGATGAGTTGCAATTCTAATTGAATGCAGTTTAATTGCTAAAGAGCTATCAGCTAGTTAAGATACTATATGGCAGATGCCCCAAGTTAGATTTGTTCTTCCTTGAGGAGAAGGTTAGTTGAAGTGAGCTTCACTTACATCATCTTGTCGTTAACAGTAAAAGGCTTGTCTCTTTATTCCTTTAAAATAACAAAATTACTATTCCAGACAGATTTCTCTAGGGATTGTCATCGTAGTATCTAGCCTGTCAAATTCTCTTTCTTGATCACCCGTTAAAGGAATGCAATCCCAAATCGACTTCAAAAGAGAAAATTTAACTAATTCAATTAGTAAAAGCTATTATTTCAGAGGAGTCTGGCCTAACATCTAGTACTAAACTCACTGGACTTAGGAAAAGAGTCAGATGCTTAACAATGCAGGCCTCTCTCACACCAATATGAATTAGGAGAAACTTCAGTAAAGCCAAATAGGTCTGATTCTTATTTCACTTGTACCAGATTTGGATAGGTTTACTCCATATTCTACTGGGATGTAACAGACCAGGAAGAGGCCTACATAAGTGTTACACCAACGTGAGATCAGAATCTGGTTCATCGTAGAATTACAACATATTCAAATGTATGTTTTATGGAGCAGTCCTATTTCAATATGAAACAAAAGAAACAACCAACCCTCTTAATACATAAAACATGTAGACAGGCAGATTTTAGGCTAGTATATTTGGCGAGCTCCATTGACTTCACTCATCCTGATTTGCACCTATTGAGGCCCCTCTGTCGCTCAATTGTCTGTACTATATATTTTCTGCTTATTTCTCTACCTTACTCCTTTGCTACCCCTGGCAAAGTTTACTACTGGCAATTCCCATAATGAGAGCTCATTATGCTTTCTGTAGTGACTTGATATGCTTGCTAGGGAGTCCCTAAAACACTTCTCAAAGCCAGCTCCTTGACAGACACATTGCAGCCTGGTAATTCAGAGCTCACAAGAATTATGATGTCTCAACTAAAGGGGCTGTCAGGAAACAAAACCTCAATTCCTGCCAGGCTATCTTTGTGTTTGATTTCTTTCACTGCTGGCATAATGTTCCCCATTTTTTAAATGTCTCTCTGTGGGAAAGACACTAAGAAACAGGGTTCTGGAGAATGCCTGGGATTTCCAAGGTTTCAGTAGGAAACTATTTGTAAAAGATAGTCTGATGATATTTACTTGCTGGAAAGGGCTGGAAGAATCAGGAAAAGAAAGGATGCTGTTTATAAGGAATAGGAACTGTTACTCATTTTCTAAAAGCCTCTCTCTGTGCCTAACAAAAGGCATTTTCTGCATAGTGCTGAATAGGAGGGTGACTTGGGAATGACAGCAGATACAGTTCTAAAGGGACCTTTCAGGATTGATCACAAGAACAAGGAAAAGTATATGCTGCATAAATAGCTGATGTAGATTGTATAATATCACTAGAATCATTCTAAGCAGCTAATGAGGCTACCCACTGAGCTATTCTGATCAACTGAGCCTCACTCTGTTTTAAGAGACTACAGGAATAGAAACATAGCAACCAAAATTCTAAATGGAAAGGACAGAACAGAATGGCTGTGTCGGTTGGTATGGAAGCTAAAAATCAAAGATCAGTTAACAAAAGTGTGAGCAAGGAAGAAATGTTGGAGGGCTTCTCGAAATCAAGAGGAGCGAACAGGAGAGCAATAAGGCTGGCATACTCCAAAGTAATCATTCAACCTATAAGAAAAACCAAACCAAAAAAAACCCATATGTATTCGTAAAATATTCCCCTGATATTGTAAACATTAGGCCTGAGTCTCAGTTACTGAGGAAGAGGTCAGAATAATCCAGGGGTGGAAAGCAAGACGGCTTTCAGCTTCCTTTTATATCCCCTGCATTCTAGGATCATGCAGAACCAACCTCCTTCTCCTGAGTTAGAGCAGCTCCAAGTCACCACTGAGCTAATGGAAGTAGAACATAGTCCTACTATAGTTTAGTGTGAGCCAGCTACTACCTGTCATGCTCCATTACTTCTTCAGAAGTTGGGTGTAAGACCAGTAAAGAACAATTATATCAACTCTATGCCAGTCAGGGAGTTCTTCAACGAAGAGAGGTCCACTTCTTCCCATTATAGGGCCATTTATACCATCAGGCTACAGCTAGACTGGCATGATTTTCCGGAAATGCTTTTAACGGAAAAGTTTTCCGTTAAAAGCATTTTCAGAACAGAGCATCTAGATTGGCACAGGCGCTTTTCCACAAAAGCACTTTTTGCAGAAAAGCGTCCGTGGCCAATCTAGATGCTCTTTTGCGCAAAAAAGCCCCGATCGCCATTTTTGCGATCAGGGCTTTTTTGTGGAAAACAAATCTCAGCTGTCGACACTGGCCCTTGTGTGCAAAAGTTTTGCACGAAAGGGACTTTTGCCCGAACGGGAGCAGCATAGTATTTCCGCAAAAAGCACTGATTTCTTACAGTAGGAAGTCAGTGCTTTTGCGGAAATTCAAGCGGCCAGTGTAGACAGCTGGCAAGTTTTT